CAGAAACAGTGGGATACAGTGCATGCCACAGACTTTACAGTGATCACACACCATGGTTTACGTACAGTGATCGCACACCATGTGTGTGTGTGAGAGAGAGAGAGAGAGAGAGAGAGAGAGTTAATTTTCATAGAAGCTAGAATATACACTTACCCCACTTGATCATCAAAAGCTGGTTTTTTAACCTTGGGTGGTGAGCAGTTGAGTTGAGAGAGAGGCCTATAGTGGGCTCAAGTACTCTTGATTCTCTGTTTCTGAGTAGTGGGCTAAACTTTATGCTCTCTGCAGTTTGTGGGTTTTTTTTATTATAAATATTTAGCTCAGATCCAAGTAAAAGCTTAGTCAGCCCACGATTTTTTCAAACTCTACCTTTTTCTCAAGCAAAATCTTTGTCTCTCTTCCTACAAGAGACACAAAGACGTGTACCCAGAAAATATTCTCGACTCACACCAAAGTCTTTGCCTTATAAATTAAGGCCAGTTGTGAGACAATTAACCCATCAAAGGTTTTTCAATTTTCTTTGCCAACCATCTCTCTCTCTCTTCCACCCTTTCTCCCATTTGTGAAGTGCTTAGAAGAGGAAAGTCATCTAGCTAGCAAAGGCTTTGGTTAGCTTAACTTCTTAGGCTTTTCCTTACATAAGTTCATACAACTTGTCCCTGAACTAGAGACATGGAGATCAATGAGTTAGCAGCTGCAGGGGAAGCGAAGGCCGGGCTTTTCGAGCGATGGTGGGGCTGGCTTAAGGCCTTGCCGGGGAAGTTCAATACCAAGGTTGTCAAAGTTGTAAAGGGCACTATAAAGCTAGGCAGAGATGACCCAAGAAGAGTCATTCACTCTCTAAAAGTGGCTCTGGCTCTCACATTGGTGTCCTTATTGTACTACTGGAGAGCCCTTTTCGATGATTTCGGGGTTGCTGGAATCTGGGCTGTTCTAACAGTGGTAGTGGTGTTTGAATTCACTGTAGGTAAGTTAAAAAATGAAAATGAAAAAGATATTGATTGAAATTTCTTTCAACTTATTGATCATGTTAAACTAAAAAGTGTACTTATTATTTCTGTTTTCCTGTGTAGGTGCAACCCTCAGCAAAAGTTTAAATAGAGGTTTTGCAACATTACTGGCTGGTGCTCTAGGCGTTGGAGCCCAACACTTAGCTAGTCTCTTTGGAGAGAAAGGAGAACCTATTGTGCTTGGGATCTTTGTCTTCCTGCTAGGTATACATATTTGTACACATGAAAAAAAAAATTAATACGTTGGGTAATGGTTATGTTGCCAGATATCTGACATGTTATGTTACTAGATGGAGGACATATTCAGACAAAATTTTATCTAATTGATGCTCCTAATCACTATCTCACAACGTAACTAACCTGTCAGATGACCTGGCAAGAATATTTCTCATGTTATAGGCTTTGTGTATACAGAAACAGATATTGCTTACTAATGCATGCAAGTGTTTTTATGGTTGCAGCTGCAGCATCTACATTCTCTCGGTTCTTCCCAAGGATCAAGGCCAGATATGACTATGGAGTGTTGATATTCATCTTGACATTTAGTATGGTAACCATATCGGGGTATCGTGTTGAAGAGCTCTTGGAAATGGCTCATGAAAGACTCCTGACAATCATAATAGGTGGAGGAACTTGCATGATCATATCAGTTTTTCTTTGTCCAGTATGGGCTGGCGAAGATCTGCACAAGCTGATAGCTTCCAATACAGAAAAGCTTGCAAACTGCCTAGAAGGTAAGCTAAATTCTATAATTGGCTCTAGTTCCTTTTTTCTTTTTTGGTGTTCAACACGTTCAAAGATTAACTGAGAATGAGGAAATTAATTACAGGATTTGGAGGTGAATATTTTCAAACACCTAAGGATGGAAATTGTGGCATGGTCCCCAAAAATGAGGACTCATTTCTTCAAGGATATAAGAGTGTCCTCAACTCGAAAACCACTGAAGAATCCTTGGTGAGTAATAAAGCATCATTTTTATTCTTTACCTTGGCATGAAAGCCACTAACATATATATGGGTATATCTAGCTAGCCTTTTCTGATATATAGCAATTGTATACATGTACAGGCAAATTTTGCAGCATGGGAACCAGGACATGGCCGTTTTAAATTTCGCCATCCATGGAAGCAATACTTGAAGATAGGTGCTCTTGCCCGGCAATGCGCCTACCAGATCGAAACTCTAAATGGCCACGTCAACTCAAATGTACAAGTATGTATCAAATCTTCATACTCTTAAGGATCCATGATTTAATTAAAATATTTAACAAAAGAAAAATCAATATTAATTATATGATCCTTGCAGGTTCCACCAGAATTTTTACAGATAATTCAAGACTCCTGCAGAACAATGAGTATTGAGACTGGAAAGGCCCTAAAAGCATTAGCCATAGCAATCAAAACCATGAAGGAACCAAAACATGCTTGTGAACATTTGGAGAAGTCCAAAACTGCAGTCAAAGACCTCAAAACTGCTCTGAAAGCTGCATCATTGGAAAATGCAGACATCCTTGCAATTGTGCCAGCTGCAGCAGTTGCCTCAATTCTTGTTGAGATTGTCAAAGGTGCAGAAAAAATTTCCAAATCAGTTCATGAGCTTTCTGAACTGGCACGTTTCAAAAAAGTAGTGGAGCCCACTGTTTCAGCAGAGAAGCCACAGTTACTTCACAGGGGAAGTGTAAATCCTGTGCTTTTAGATGGTGAAAGTGCCCATGTTATAATCACAGTACAGGAAATATTAAACATGGCACCTAAAGGCCCAGAACCAAAGTGAGGAAGTGTAAATATTTTGTTACTCTGACATGTAATTGGGTTGAAAATACTCAACTTGTATACTTTTATTTGTTGAGTATGATGATCAACTCTGTTGTAATTTCACAAAAGAAATTGTGGGATTTTCATGGGGAAGGCATATTATCAATATTTCCCCATTTTTGTATTCAATCTTTTGTAACAAAAGCCTGCCACTATTGCTCTTTGCTATCTGATGTCTTCCTCCTTTCAGAAAGGTACTTTTAAAAATAAAATTAAAAAAGAACTGTGATTTTAATATTAGTTCAAAAGAAGAGTTCAAAATAAACTGAATTTGTCATTCTTACCTCGCAATGTCTATGAACAGTGAAAGCTAAAAGTTAAAAAAAGGACTCTCGAGAAGAGTCTAATTTTGGGTAATGCTGGACCATAAGATTAAGGGAGCTTTGGTTCAAAAGTGGAACCTCAACTTCCTTCATGGTAGTCTTAGTTCTGAGAATCATGAAAGCAAAGTGGTAGAGATCTATGAGCTTTAACAGTTAACACCCTGACTAAGTGGAAGTGAACCAGATGAAGGAACTGAGGTAGAGAAATGTCCATCCAAATTCCTAAAGGCCAAACTGCATATATCTTTATATATAGTTAGTGGGTTCGTATTGTGGGCTAGATGGCTCTTGGTTGGTTCTTAATTGCCTAGCAATTTCTGACCAAAGGCATGCATCCTGAATTTATTTGAACACAAAAATGCACTCGGTGAAAAAACCATGTTCTATACACTCGGAAGAAAACCATGTTTTTGTCACGTGATAAACACGTGAAGGGCCCAAAACATCATTTTGAGGGTCCAACTTTTCTAGTAGGTCTAATTTGGTTGTGCTTTTATTTTATTTTTCTGTTTGTTGTATCGGGTTTGTTTGTAACTTGCTTAAGTAATGAAATGAAATCTTCATTTCTTTGATCAAAATAAAATAAAATATCAATTCGCACCCTAAAATCGCCGAATCGAACTCAAAATCTATAATCTTCAAAAGATGTTGGCCCGATGACCAACAAAAGAAAAAGAGAAAGAAAATTAACAATAGTGCTTATCGGAAGGCTCTACTACTTTTTAAAAATACTTGAATTTGAGGTGATGAAAACATATCCATAGTACACCTCTCAAACATTAAAACAACATAAGAGTTTGAGATCATGGTGGGATTTGGAGGCATGAGTTGTTTTTCACTCCCATACAAGTGGGTGTTGTTGTCTTGTCCCCTTCCGAGAGAGAAGGGGATTAGTTAAGACTGGTGTGTGTGTGTGTTCATGTTTTTTATATCCTAAATCATTGACTTATAATCAGATTCTTTATATTGAACATGTTTAATTTCTTGTAGTTAACCATACTTCCTAGGTTGGATAATCAAATTTGAGATATAGTCATTGAAATCCATGCCTTTTTTATTTAACAAACAACTAAGGCCTTGTTTGGGACTACTTCTCTAGGAAACACTTCTGCTCATAAGCACTAACAAAAGCGCTTTTATTATAAAGATATTGAAATTTTTATATAAAAAATTCAAGTGCTTCTTCAAAAAGCGCTTCTATGACTCAGAAGTACTTCTAAGCTTTTTTATCAAATGCTGTCAGAAGTACTTTTAGCCCTTCCAAACACACTCCTAAACAGGCCCTAAATCTTCATCATTTTCTTAATTTATCACATGCTTCTTTCTTTTTAAATGAGAAAATCATACTCTTACTCTACAATGAAAACCATTCAATACAGAAAGTCTATTTTTTATCTACCTTGTATAACTAAATATTATATGGAATTGGAATCACCACCACCACAAATCCTAGTTGATGTTGGATCCATAAACACGAAAGTCAAATAGATATATAAACATATACGAACCATAATATTTTATTTTTTCCATTTCAAGTGCTTCACTCACTACCAAAAGATTCCTTAACCAGAATATACCATCACTAGAAAGTTAATTAAGTCACAATTAGCACTACACATAAATCTGCCCTAACCATCTCAATTTAATATCGTTGTGTTGTCTAACCTAATGCAACTTGCTTAATTTTTAATATGAATCCAGACAATGTGATAATAGCTAAAAACGTAGCTTCCCCACCACTTATCAAGATCATGCTTTCATTCCTCATTAGGAAAAGCTAGTGTAGTGATGACGTATATTATATCAAGCAAAATAAATATTCCCATTACCAAATAAATTAAATATTAGCTTGGTACATCTGCAGCATGTGATTGACTTGTATTAATATATAATAGATCTTTAGCATAAGTTATCAGAGGAGGCTGGGACAAAGTGGCTGCAATCCCACAGCTAAAAGACATTTCAGAAAGCACCATCAGAGGAATAATCAGTTCAGCTCAGTCTTCAGCAGATAAATTATGAACTTCTTCTTTGTCCCATATTGCATAGTTTGGGAAGATGACATGTTGCAGCAGTGTATTACATTATTTAAGATTGATTATTCAGACCCATTAGAGAGAGTAATTAATATAATCATGGAAATAGGGCAGATTCATAAGAACCAATGACGTGGTGCTGATGCGGGAGGCAAGGGCGGAACCAGGAATTTTTCAACGGGTGGGCTAGCTAAAGTTATTAGCTTTAAAATTTAGTGATTTTTTTTTTTGGTACTTACAATTTCTATAGTCTTTCTAGAAATAAAAGTAAACATTAAATCATATAAACCAAGCTAGTTCATAGCTCCATAGACTAATTTTCAATAAGTTTTAACATAAACCAAATAGGATTTAACACTATAGTGGATTGAACATCTAAGATTTTTTACCTAGATTGACCTTAGGTTCTTTTATGCATTCATATTATAGATGAAAAGTTATTTTATGTAAAAATATTGATTACGTATGAAAAATGGGTTTTTGAAATAATCATTTTCTCAAGATAATTTTTGGCGGCTTTTATTCCTCACACATCAAATAAGAAAACTTGATTTTATGGGATTTTAGTATGAAATATATATTGACTTAATGAGCCATCATTTTTAGCCTAAATCGTATTTGGCACTAAAACCGATTTTTCATATTTTGATTTGGTGAGAATTTGGTTTTCTAGTATTTTTATTTGAATCCAAATGGGGGGTACTTCCTTATTTACATTGTAAACTTAAGTAAATGGAGTAATATAAAAAATAAATAAAAGTAAAATGACAAAGACATTTACTTAAATGTTGAAAATGGAAATAAGGTAATCTGTGCAGCGCCACTGACTAGGCTAATATTGAAAATAAGTTAAATATATAAGTTTTATATTTTTTTTCTTAAAAAACCACACTGGGCTACAGCCCACTGTAGCCTTTGGTGTGGTTCCGCCCTTGATCATAACAAATAAAGATGTTGATAGACTAGTTCGGAAGTGTCAAATTTGTCAGTTTGGCAAAGGAATTTGGCGGGAGGGCTTTCTTTTTGGGGCCATTCGATAGGGAGAGGGATGGGAGAGTATGTATTATATTGAGTTGCTTCAAGATTGTCTTTTACGTGAATCGATTGTGGATGCACTTAAGAGGAAGGGAGATAGTTTAACCCACTTTTTCACTGTGATGCCATCCCATATGATGATGATGTGTAAGCCCTTTGCTAGACTAATTTTGATCACACAAAGCAAGCATATAATAAATTAATTATTGTCTGTTGTATTTTGTTATATTATTCCTATCAAATTAGAGGTCAGAAATCGCCCCAGAAAGTTCTAGTAGTTTCAGCTGCACGAAGAGTCAGCATTCATAGAATAAGGAAATGGGGATCACATGAAGAACAAGGCGTCACCTTTTCAGTCTTTAATTTAGTTTGGTCATTCTGAACTCGAACTCCATTCCACTTCAGTCTACATTTTAATAGTTAAGGCGCACGTGCAACGCACGTATAAGTTAGAATATACTATACCCATATGGTTCTTGGCAATGGGCTTTTAGGCCGGAGTTTGGGTCTGCAATCTGGGCCACGTGGCCAATAGATGCATTACAGAAAAGCTCTAATGCGGTGCCGTACTTGAAAGTACTTTTACAAAGGTTTCAACTATTTTTAGTTTATTTCATTTTTTAAATGTAAAATTGAATAGGGTGAGAGGATGGCAATAACGCCCCTCAAAGCAATTTTCCATCTACGAAAGAATGTGAAGAAATTAATTATCTTATATTTGATAATATACATGCAGCGCTCAAGTGTCTTTATCAGCTCAGCAGAGCATAGTGCAATTTGATGACATTACTATATATACTGGCAATCATTTTCTATCAACTAACATGAGATAACAAAACTTGGACTTGGATACTATCTACCAAAATCCGTGCTCCAATAGTGCATACATCCCATCCCTACAGAAAACAAACCTTCCTACCTAATAAGCGTAACAGGCTCCTAAAATACTATGTGTTAGTATTATACAGTCAGATTGGACCACTAATCTACTTACCAGCCATAAATTGGATTTTCTACATGAGGCGGCAAGAGATGAAGGTCTTTACAGTGTTGCTTGTCGTAGTCACGGGTTCCGGGTATTGCCCCTGTGCAGAGTCGAAGGAATTCATTCCCAGTGAGACAGTAGTGGGCAAATGCCAAACCACCATCAACCATACCCGTCAAGCTAGGCACTGATGCCGACTTTGAGATCTTCTTTCCATTGCGTATGCTTGATTTTGCACCGTTGTTGTCTTTATTCAAGACTTTATCAAGATCGGAGTACTCCATGAATCTGTGGGTAGCAGCTTCCCATGATAGATTGTATCTTTGCTCCGGAGTAAGGGGCTTAGGGTCACTTTCCATTGCTTCCTTCACTTTCGCAACAAAGTCCTCAGGTGTTTCATAGGTCAAACAATTAGGAAATGATCTGAAGAACTCATTTGATGGATGATTCGCACAAACTACAAATTTGCCCATGGCAAGCGCCTCAGCAGTAGCCGTGCAGAGTACATCACTAACACTGGGATTTATGAAGACTTTGTACCTTGAAGTAAAAAAGAGAACATTATTAGCAGGAGAAGGGGAAACAAATAACTAAATTGTATGTTTATGTTTATTTCTGAACTTAGTCAAAGGTAAAAGATTTTAAGAATTGATTCCTTTAGGCCCAAAAGTAAGGGGACAATGCATTATGCATGGAGATTATGCTTTTGTACAGCGGAGACCTAAAAGATCCTTACCCGTGAAGAGAATCATCTGCATGGTCTCTT